GGGCCAGGCTGCGGGGGGGAGGTGCCTCTTGGAGTGCTTGTGGGGGATGGGGCCTGAAAGGTTGGAAATCAAGTAGGGGCGGTGATAGGCAGCGGTCCTTTTCATCCCTCTTTAACAGGCAGGCAGAGGTGCCTAGGCAGGTCCTGCGGTGCCGCGGGCGGCTGGGCGGTTTTGGTGAGCCCTCAGGTATGCCGAAGCTCTGCCCGCAGGCACCTCTACTCTGACAAATCCCTAGCTCCGTAGCAAGCTGCAGCTGGGAAAAAACTGGCGCTAGAGGTACCTGCCAGATGAGATTGACAGGAATGAAATTATGGGCTCGGAGGTAAAAAGAAGAAAGAAAAGCGCAGGGAAAAAAAAAAGGAAGAGTAGATTAGCATCATGGTCTTACAAAAGGACTAAGTCAGTCTTGGCACCTTATCACCTCTAGCAAGCAAAGATGACTGGTAGCTTCCAAAAATAGTTTGCTAATGCTGGGGGGGCAATCATGGAGGTCACACCAATACTGATAAATATAGAATTCTTGTTACGGGACTTCACCTTTTCTTCCTTTGTAATAAAGAACATGTAGCCACTACTGCAGATCAGTAATTCATACTGTTGCAAATGTGAAGAGGGGGACATTTTTCAGAATTCACTTACAGTCTGACGGTTTTGCAGGGATAAGCTTTGCTATGCAGAATATTTTATATTTATTATTATGGCATCTATACAGGTTTTGGTGAAGAGCATTACAAAAGACAAACACAAAACACTTGTTTCCAAAAGTTTACTGAGATAAACACGTGAGGGGCAGCTGGCCAAAAGGCTGCAGCAATTCAGTTGTGAGTACTTTGTGTAGGAATACACATCATGGTGTAGTTTTGAGTTGGTGGTATTTTTATTTGGTTTCGAATTAAAAAGTGATTAATAACTCCAGTCAGGGCATGGTAGATGAAGTGTCTTTTGGGAAGTAAAGCAAATTCTATATACATTTGGCATGACCTTGAGGTAGTCTGTAAAGATGAGAGAGTGTCTAACAAAGATGGCCTGTTGGTAGTTTCCTTTGTTCAGCGTGCACATCTGATAAGAGATAATTAGTCACTCTTTGGGGCTCTAGGAGGAGGATTTTTCAGCATATATGTATTTGGGACTACATCCGTTTCAGCAGCAAACTTAACATAAGAAGAAAACTGGATATACTGCATATGAACATCCATCATCAATTTTTATAGAGATACAATACTGACATTTTACTGGAATTTTAATATCTTTTCTCGTTGCCACATTGTACTGAAGCAGAAATTTATTTGAGACTGTTTCATGAAAATGTTCAAATGTCTCTTTTAAATGCCTGTGTTTATTAATATATAGCCCAGTAATGTTCAGATGGCTTCCATCCTGCATCACCTTTCTCTGAAATATCCCTGATGTGATTCTGCCCATTTTAGGTGCACTGTTTGAGCACAGGAAAAATATTTTCAGATCGTCTCTCAAAAAAGAAATTTGTTTCTGTCAAGACATTTTTCTCCAAATTTCAAAAAATTTATTTTCATGAATAATTAAGAAAATAAGGAAAACCTGAAAACATACAAACATCAAGAAAAACAAACAAACTCAGTGGTAACACATGCTTCTTATGACACTCTCTAAGATTTCAGATACAACACACATGGATTCAGGCTCTGGTGATAGGACTTCCTCCAGCTCACCGAAGCTCTATGTGGGATGAACAATGAGGTACCTGGACACCTCATCTATCATCAATAACTGACAATTCTATAAAGTTGCAGTAGTTGTGGAAAAAGGGATTTTTTTCTTGCAAGGAAATAGGGAGCATGATGCTATTTGCCAGCAGCAGACAGGAATTTTGGAGTTCTTTGGGCAGTTCTGCTCCCCATCCCCTCACCAAGGATCCTCACTCTCTGCCAAGAGGGGTAAAGAGATGCCTTTGCCTCGTGTGAAGCACGCGAAAAAATACTGTTATCAGGCCATTGTCCCAGTTTTAGAGCCTCTGCAAAGTGTGGAAATCCAGGAAGATGCAAATAGCACATCCCACGTTTTCCCTGGATAACCAGCCCAAAGAAAGGACTGGGCACAGAGGAAGCAGAGGCTAAGGGATCCCTCTCTCAAAACACAACAAACAGCACTTTTATGCTCAGTAGGGTCCTCTCTCCCCTTGACTATGGAAAAGGAAATGTAGATTTGTGGGTGGGGCTGCACAAGCTAGCACAGGGACACTCTCGTTATGTTCTACCCAGCCACTGTTGCCGAGACTGCAACGTAGCAGAAGTGCATCCAGACTAGGTTTCAACTGCCATGATGATGCTGATGCTCAGGGACTAATCTCCCCACTGCAGCAGTGCCGAGTTAGCGTGACTACCTGCCCAAGTCTTCGTCCATGCTCTCAGGCTGGTTTTGCAGCTCCTGCTGAGGCGTGCGCTACCCCAGCCAAGCTGCTTACTGCTTCCAAGCTGTCCTGGTGAAAGTTAGCTTCTATTTTCTACGTTACAGGGCAGCAGCAAAGCAAGACTACAGTGTAGACATACCATGTGTCTCTCAGACCCCAAGTGCAACTTTATTTAGGCAGACAAAAAATATAAATAGGTAAATAAAAAACAGATTTTCTGGGTGATTTTGGAGAGAGCTGCCTCGAGGGTCCATTTTCTCACACGCACTCAGCTAGGATACCTTCATTTTGCCTTTCTCAGGAGCTGCTTCATGGATGAGTGGCTGCTCATCCCCATTCACTGACAGGATCCTTTTTTCTGGTGGCTGCTCCTCAGGCTGGCGGGCAATCAGCAGACGACAGGTAAGCAGGATCCCAAAGACTAGGGCATGGGCATAACGCTTGAGTGGATCCCCCACTAGCTGGTGGAAAAAAAGCACAGCCAGCACAAGGAGGAGGAGGAGAAAGTTGGCCACGTCTTTGAGGCGACCAGGCACCAGTGTCATGACAATGCCACATGCCACTTCTAGGGCACCAATGCTCTTGCGGAGAAGGATGGAGCTGACTCCCATCTTCTTTAGCATGGGGAGGGCCCGCACGTAGCTTTTGTATGCTCGTTTCTGAAATCAAGCAGTAATAGCATAGAACACCATAACGTGAGAAAGTAAAGACTTCCACTGAAATAGATTGATGTGCAATATGACCTAAAGATCACTTCAATCATCACAGACCCTTCTGGCACAATATCCAATCTATACCCCTAAAGCTTCTGCTGGAGGGATATTAACACCATCAACCTGCAATTTCCCCTTTATAAGCTGTTGTCTCCTCGCTGGAAAACAGTTCTGCAACCTAGCACCCATCTTTGGAGCTAGGACCAGGCCAGGTGTACCTTCTCCTGAAATCTGAAGTTACGATTGCTAGAATTAGCAATGCAGAACCGTATTGTTAAAAAAAAGTACCTCTCTCTAAGAGTAGCTTGTCCTTTATAATTAAATAACACACCTAGTCCCTGCAAAGCCAAGGCACAAACAGCAAAACCAGACGTCTCTTTCTACTTCAAAGCAACTTGCAATATCCCAGTGTTTATGAGCAGTACAATCTTAGCATCTTGTATACATCAAAGCTGAGATTCACCAAGCCTATCCTATGCTTAATACTTTCATAATCCTTTCTTTCCTCAGATGAAAGCAAGCTGACATTTGACATCCTTTGCTCCCTGGTTTATGCTGGATTTAGAAGCAGTGTAAGTTACAAGACTCAGCCTCCTTACACTGCTGCCTCATTGTTTCAGGGAAGAAACCACCTCTGTTCTTAGACACGTTCAGGTTCTTGCATTTGAACATTAGGTGCTTGTGGGCTTATTGTTTTTGCTTGTTTTTTTTTTTTCTTTTTCAATCAAGTATTTCCTTTTTTTAATAAAGCTCCTGCAGATACTCTTGCCATTGTGTTCTCTACTTTCTAATCAGGGAGAGGGAAATGGAAGATGAATATCGGGTACAGAGTTGTTCAGCTCTCACAGGTGCTGATTAGATTGTAGATTTACTTCCACGTGATTTTGGAAACCTGCTCTACAGGCACACAGAACTTCCCCACTTCTCTGTAAATTTTGTTGCTTCCTTCTAAGAGGAGCTGATACTTCATACGTGGTTAAAAAATATACAGCATTGTCATTTTTGCTACTAAATAACTGAAGATGTCATGACACATTTACTCTAAGTGTATGCATTGTAAGGCTGCATTTTAAACCCTCAGTGAATAAAACCTTTCCTCAGAGCAGAGTATTTTTAAACAGTTGTGCTTTATAAAGAAATGTACTATCAGCCTGTCCTAGAATACTCTGGTATTTTAAGTATTTTAATAGACAAACTAGTGTGTCTCTTTTGCTGAATGAAAAACTGCAAGCTTGGCGTTGTAGGTAGATAACAGAGGTTCTCTATTTGCTTGGAGCAAGAAGCCATGCTTATTGATTGCCAAGACAGTTCACTAATTGTCTCCATTACATGACAGACCACCCTCCTACGCAGCACAGCAAAAGCATGAAAGCCTAATGAGCCATGAACATGTCTATGGTCTATTAAGAATGATGGTGCTGTGCAATATCTGAGTGCCTCTGCTTTCTCTTTGTAAAGATGGAGATCATTCCTACCTGTAGGCCTGGCTCTTGGTAAAGCAGAAAGGGACAGAGAAGCGAGATATTTTACAGAGCAAGGATTTCGCAATGCTTCTAAAGTCTCAGTGCTTTTTTCTGTCCCTTATGTAGAAGAAGCTTAAGAGCTTTGTTTTCTGGGCATTTTATCTCAGTCTCTTGCTCCAGAGTTACTTCTTGGTGATTCTTCTCTGCGAGATCCCTGTGCTGTGCTGCAGATGAGGCACTGCAATTCAGATGCTGTTTGAGAGCTAAGGAAAAGCAGCTGGGCAGGTGGAGCAAAGGGAGAGAACAGAATATGCTGGAAGCTTCCAGCACTTTTCTGAGAGGCACAAAAATTACACCAACACTTTTCAGCCACTGCAGTAAATATAATGGGGGGTGGGGGGAGGGGGGCAGCAGGAGAATAAACATACATAGACAAGGAAGCAAAACATGGCAGCCAATCCCCTAGCCTGCCTGCAGCTTGCAGCCAGCAAAGCTCTGCAGCAGGGTTGGTCCTGGGCAGAGAGTAGCACAAACTAGCTCACCAGCTGAGAAATGCAGACAATGGCTTCTCCTTCCTCTCCTCACCCCTTTTCCGTTAGGCAAGAGGAGGAGAGGCTCATTTCCCAGGCTAAAGAGAATAATAAGGTGACTATTAATAATATCTTCTTCTGCCAGCTAAGAATCTCAAAGCATTTCACGGTAATGAATTAATCCCTGCACAAGTCTGGTGAGGTAGAGACAGTCAGTGTCATTATCCTTGCTTTAAAGCACAGAATTTTGAGGATGATCCTCCGGCTGCCAAAGCAGGCATCTGCTTTTCCTACCCCTAGTCCAGGGGGTAGGTATTTTCCCAGGGATCAACTGTACCTGCCTGCTACATGTCTGGCACTTCTTCAGACCTTGCTTTTCAGAGACCCTTGTGTCCCCATCTTTTTGCAGGCATCGGTGTACTGTGCTACCCTGTCATCTTTGCCTCCCCTCCCTGTCCTTATCCACGAGAGGTTTCTCCATGGATAGGTTCAGACGGAGACCAGGCGAGGGCTGCGTATTATTTGTGTCTCTCTGTGTCCATCAAATAAGGAGGGAGTTAAGCTTCTTCCCTCTCCCTCCCATCGCTCAGGGCTCCAGAGCAGTCACCCTCCGTGTACCCCACTGCAAACACTGCTCTGCCACACGGTTGAGGGGAGAGAGCCCTAATGCGTCTGCCTCCATGCTGCCACTGCTGTACTCACCATCTCATTGTAGGCATCTCTGCTGAGCCGAGGGGTCAGTTTGATGGTCCCCATAAAGACGAAGAAGAGCCCCAGGGCCACTGAGAGGGCGATGATGGTGATAGTCCTGGGAGATGCCATGGAGCCGCCGGGAACCGGCCCTGGGAACCAGTCCTAGCAAGGCCTTCTCGCTCTGGCTGCCAGCCCGGGCGGGAGGTAGTCAGTCACCATTGAAGGAGATGAGGAATAAAGCTGCAGAGGCAGCAAGGGTGACAGCGGGAGGGGGATTCAGCCTCCTCCACTCAGCAACCTCCGGGTCCTAATGCCCCGCAGCCATGCAGCCAGAGCAAGGCAGCTCTAGCACCTGCTGAGCGATGAGCATTCCCACCCCTCCTACCATTAAGTCATCCTCTGTTTCCTTGCACGTTCCATAAATTACCCACAGAAAGCTGAAACTGAGCCAGTTCTAGGGATGTGGGATGGCAGCCAAACGCACAGCACAGTTGCTCACTAGTGGGAAAACGAGGACATGTTAGCAGAGGGCACAGCAGTAACCTGCTATGGAGTGAACGTGGTCGGAGGTCTCTTGTACATAGGCAGCTTTCAGATTCAGATGCTCAGACACTAATAAACAGCAAACAACACATTGTTTAATATATTTGCCCCAGAAAAGCAAAACATGATGTCTTGCCCCTGTGGCTCTCTTGGAGCCTGATGCCCAAAAGGGACGGTGAGGCCACTGTGCCACCCTCCCCCATTGCAGATAAAACCTGTCCTATATGTTCAGCTCTCCAGAGACTAGTGGAAAGGTTTCCTGATCTTCTATTACTTTCTGATTTAAAGTCATTATCTCTCCACCTCTAGTTTGCAACAAATTTCCTTTTGACAAAAGCATAGCCGGGCTAAGCAGAAATCCATTCAGATCTTGCAGCAAGAAGCCAAGGTATAATTATACAAAACAGAACTGCTGGAAAACTGCATCCCTCGCTATAAACTGAAAACAAGAGGCTATAACAGTGTGCAAAAATCTTACACTCATGGGATAGTACAAGAGTGACACTTCCTATGCCTGTCAGGAATTTCCCCATCACCTCCCTTTCTAGTATAGTAAGTCTCAAGTCCTAAAGCCATGTACTTTAAGCCCCCTTGAGAACTGGTGGTTGTTGTTATTAGCTCAGGGTTCCTCAAGACTGGAGTTAAAAAGTCTGAAAAATACAGGCATCTCTCCTTGTTTCCTTGAGACTTCATCAGCCTTGATTCACCCAAATCAGGTAGGGAACTCCTCTTTCGGAGGAAAGAGTCAAATTTAACAGCCTAACTGTGGAAATGTGTTCTGCTACTGGTCTGGCCTAGATGACCAGAATAAACCAAAAGATAACTTCAATACAACATAAAAGTAAAAAGTAAAAAATAAAAGGAGCCCTCAAAACAATGTGGAGTTCTCAAAACATAAGGGAACTCTGCTCACTCGGACCTACCTTCAGGTTGTAGCAGCTCCATCTTTTGAAGAGCTGGAGAGAACTTAGTATAACATTGAGGTTCACAGCTTGCCAATCAGTGAGCATGGCAGGACAGATACAAAACACACCAAATTTTTGAATTAGCTATTACAGAGCAACCTGATGAGGAAATAACTTGTTGCTGCTGACATTTTCACATGGCACTTCATATTTAGGTATCAGCAAGCATTAGAGAAGGGGGAGGCAGGTGTGGAAGGAGAGACACTGAAATCTGTTTTCTCTTCATTTCGTTTTATAGAAAAATCTTTCTCATTGCCTCCAACTTACCCATGTGACTGACAGCAATTCAATATTGGTTTTGGAAATTTATACAGGAAATATTTCCCTGACCCCAAAAGTCAACATTTGCCCAGTGAAGCACAAGGATTTCTAGTTCCTACAGTTTCTTCATAGCAAGTTCACTATCAACTTGAAAAACCCCTGAAATATCCTTGAAGCAAGCAGGGAACTAATGGCATGGCAGTATTAGAAAATACAGTGGATTTTAGTACTTCATATTCTCATGTTGATGCTGAAAACCCACAATACCAGGGAGAGGGTATTTTCCAGGCTGCTTTAACGAGCAGCCCAAGAGGTTTGCAGGGGAGGGAAGGATGATGAAATGCTACAGAGAACCTTTTCACCCCAGAAATCTGAGTGTTTCCGCATAGAACAGTGTAGTTAGGCAACCCCAAGTAAGAGCAAAAGCAAAATTACTGACTTCTATACAACTTTCAAGAAAATAAGTTAAAATCCTAACTACATTGACTCCAGTCTTCAGGACAGTCGGAGGTTGCTTCCCAAGCTCTCAGAGCTGGCATACGTGCCTCCTTGTCAGCGGGTGAACAGCAACACCAGCTCACAATGAACAGTATGAGGAAACATGTCAAAAGGTATAGCCAACGTGGGGGCAAATGGCTCTCCTGCCAGTTTCTTCCCTGGGTCAGGTGGGCAGCACAGCCTGTGGAAAGCAAAGAGAGCATCCTTTAGACAGTAGCAGAAACCTTTCCACCATTATCAGTAGCACAATACACAGAGGATGCACTAAGGAGGTATTGTGTGTTTGGCTAACATCCCTCAGAGTCTGCAGCTGACACTGGCTGAGGTCTGGAACCATGAATACTGAATCCCAAACCAGCTCTGAAAACCTTATGGACAAGCTGAAGGGTCAGAGACAGGTTTAAAGCTCCCTTTCTCACAAGCCATCCCAGCTGAAAGACACTTAATACCCTTAGGAAATAATCCTCAGTTTTGCACTACCTTCATTGGTTACCTGCAGTCAGATTTATCACCTGCAAATGGGCCTGTCCCAGATAAAGACTTAGCTATATGATTAACCCTAAGCAGGTGACTATTCCCCTTGGCTTCACTTCATTGGCTAGGGGCCAACCTTCCCGCAGTGAACTCTGTATCCCACATCCAGATGTGCTGTTTTGTTGTGGAAGGGTGCACAATGCCATTATAGCATGTTTGCATTATTTTCTATTTCTTACTGATGCACTAAAGCATCCTGCTGGAACATAAAACCCAAAGAATACCCATTACCTTAAACCAGCGAGTGCAGCTTGCAGGTAAACCCAAAGTAACGCAGAAGCATAAACCACTTCTGACCATGCACTGACTACTCCCGAATCACACCTGCAGAACTCACCCAGTGAAATTCAGTTGCAACAAAAACCTTCCTAAGCCAAGGTCAGATATTTATGTCCTCGCCTGGACCTAACAGGGTCTGTCACTAAGGTCAGTGGAAAGAAAGAGAGGAGGGTGCTCACTCAAGAAAGTTCCTCATGGCTTCACCCTCTGGCTTGCAGGAGATGTAGAGCAGCCTTCGGATGGACTTGCAGTTTCGGATGGCTCGCACAACCCTGTAATCTGCAAGAACAGATACCGTGCTTTCCCCGTGACCCACCACCACGAGCTCTCCAGAAGGAATGACTACACAGCAAGCGTCACAGAACTGCACTGAACTGTCAAAAATACAGGACAAAAAGAGTATACACATTTTGCCATGTCCTGTCTCAGATGCAGGCTCTTAGGAAGCCAGGGATGTGACCCACACTCAGCTGATTTGGCAGGGTAGAGCAGTGGGAGAAATCCCTCTGCTTCCCAGGGGGATAAAGGATGAGACAAAAAATGTTACTTAATTAAGCAGAGGCACGTAAAACCTTCCACACGCACTTGTGAGACCGCATCTGGGCACCAAGATCAGTTTGGGACTTCCCCGTACACACTGGAGTGAGTCCAGCATGTTAGAGGGATGGTTAGAGGGCTGGGGCACAGCATGCACAAGGAGAGTGTGAGGGCTCTGGTTATTCAGCCTGGGGAAGAGAAGGTGAGCAGGGATCCATCTGCTATCTTCAGGGGCCTCATGAGGGGATTACAGAGAAGACGGAGCAGAATCTTCTCAGAGGGGCACAAGAAGAGGATGAGAGGCAACAGCTGCACTGCAGCAAGGAGAAATTCTAATTAAATATATTACGAAAAACATTTTCAGGAGAAGGTATTCACCCTTGGACACATTCAAACCTCAGCTGGGCTTTATAGCCCTTACACAACTCTGAAGTTGGCCTTGCTTTAGTTGGGAGATTGCACCACAGACCTCCAGAGGCTCCTTCTCTCCTAAATAATTCTGTAAGCGTATGAAAGATGGAAAAAAGATTAGAGCTGTCTGCTTTAAAGAGAAAGCACGGTAAAGGCACTGAAAACAGCAGACTATGGGATTTTAGCTGCTGTCAGCAACAAGGTAAGAAATTAGAGACTAAGCGAGCAGAGGGTTTGGAACCAGTATAACAGGTCTCACAGAACTTGTTCAAAATTCTGTTTTCAAGATGAAAATAAATATTATATTCTCTCACGGAGCCCAGCCCGAGATGGGTTCACCACAGCAACAAGGGGTCGGGCATCCTCCCACGATGACAGGAGTTGTGGTAACACGGCCTCTGCCTTTCCACTGTGAAAATCACAGTTTGAAATTCCTGTGAAGCAAAAAGCAACCACATGAGCTGAGCAGAGTCAGTCTCACCAGACATTAGGTATAACATGAAGTACTGCCCTTTGCTGTGTGGAGGTAACTTGTTAGGATCCCTCCGCTCACTTCTGCTTCCAATTTTTCAGCAGTTACTTTGAAACTTTCTGCCATGGCGAGTTTGAACTCACCATTGAATGCTGCATTCCACCTGGCATCCTCTATTGCCTTCTCCACCACCTCAATACCAATAACCTTGGACACTTGTTGAGCCAGAGAGAGACCAATTGTGCCTGGAAATGAAGGATACAAAATACTCTGTACATGCATGCTGAAGAAACAAGCCTTTAGATAGCGGGGATCATTTTTGGCACACAAAGCACCAGCCCTGGGACCCAGGCTCACACGGCCACTGCTCACCCGTTCCACAGCAGATGTCGAGGAGGACAGTGTCCCCACCAGCCTGACTCAGCTCCCCAACTGCCTGGTACAGAAATTCAGCTCCACGCGTGTTTACTTGGAAAAAGGCATCTGGAGAGATGCGAAACTTCAGGCCGAGCACTTCTTCAAAGATATGGGGTTCTCCATGAAGGAGCTGGAAGGGGGACTGCTCATGGGAGCAACGTGTCATGGTGCTAGCGGAGCACACAAAAAACAGCTGTTAGAAGGCAGCAGCAAGGCAGTCGATTTCCATTTCCATTTCCATTCCAGGGGTGCTCATGTGTAGGGGAGGATGGTTCTCCCCTCACCAACTTGTATTTCCTGTGAGCCTTTCAACAGGATCAAAGAATGTTGACTCTTTTTAAGGGATCTGTAACTTGCACAGCCTAGAATTCATTAAAAGGAGCAAAATGACTTCACAGAAGGTAGCAGTCCTAGGGTCTATTCCCCAGTTTTGCTGCTAATGTGATTTACTGTCTTGGGAAAGTCACTGTAGGTTTTTTTCTTTAGTTTCCCAAGCTCATAACTCCCATGAGCTGGAGCCATAATGTATTCAAGTATTTCAGGTCTGGAAAAACAAAAGATGTGGCCATTTTAAAACCACATCTGCAAGACGCATCCAAACATCTGTCATTCTCTTCAAGCACTCCCTGAACTGGTAGAATTTGAATTTGATCGGGGGGAGAAAAAGGAGGTGGCTTTGTTTCCACTCTTTCCCTGTGTCAAGACATATACCTCTCTTGGAAATAAAGTGAAGTCAAGGCACAGATTGTTCCAGGTCCACATATGAAGAACTCCTTAAGCAATGCTTTCTGAGTAGCCAGTGCCTCCTATCAAGAGCGAGAAAGGAAAACCTGGCTGTTTGGGTAATCTGATTAGACCTCTCCCCAGCGATACACCCAGCAAGCTCAGGTCAGCCAGATACCTGATGTGCCTCTTGCAAGGGGCCCTGTCCTCTGCGTACTCACCTGGCCCAGCTCCTGGGGGTGGAAGGTGATGATAGCCATGGTGTGGCCACAGCTGGTGGTGCGTACCACGAGCTCCCGCCAGTGTCCGCCTTCATGGAAGAGGATGCAGGGGTTTAGGGGGGAGCGACGGATAAACTCCTCATAGCACTGAGTGGAGGGGAAACGGCACTTGTAGGACAGCAAAGACAACTGCCCTGGTCTTAGCATAACTCTGTGCACCCCAAACAGGTGGCTCTTCCACCAGGATCATCTGTTTTTTTCTGTTTGATTTCAATACACTGAGTGAAAGATCTTTCCAAGTTCTTGGAAGACGAGACATTTTAATAATTTCAATTTGTGATTCTTATGTATTTTAATAGATTGGCAGGAATTCATTGTCACTTGATTAACTTCATTCTTTGGAACAGTTTAGAGGCTGCAACGTTCACATGCAAGTTTTAAAAAAAGTATTTATCCATCAACCAGAGTCAGGCCTGAAACTTTTCAGAACATGAAAATGGACCTGAAAACCCAGCGTAACTAAAATTACAATGTTCTCCCAAGTAAGAGTTATGGCAGTCCCTCTATTCCACAGTGTAGGGACAGACATGACTTATTTATTTACCTGGGCTACTTGTTTGTGTTTTGGGGGTATGTTCTCCATGTGGTTGGCTTTCACACAGACAATGTTTCTTGCTGGAGAGAGACAGACAGGTATTTAATTGTTTTGTTTCAGGGCACGTGAACCATTGCAGTATCTGACATGATAAACTGTGGAGAGGCCTTTCCCCTGAATTCTCCCATTGTACAAAAAAAAAAAGAAGAAAAAAGAATAAACTGATCTAAGTGCCCCACTATATCATGCGATGTTCTGGGTGCCCACAGTCTGCAGGACCTGCCAGGATTTCCTTTGCCAGTGATTACTGTCAATAACTTCCATGAAGAGGTTGGAGCTCCGGGAGCTTTTTAAATGTCCTCCAGCAACTCCCAAAGGAGCCACTGCACTGTTCTTAAACTAAGGGAGGCAAAGCAGAGCAAGCTGGTTTTCTAACTGGAGAATAATGGTGTGGGCTTGCAGCAGCAAAGCAGTTTAGTTTGCCTGGAAGACAGCATTCCCACTTCAGTTTAAATACTAAACTTCTGCTGTCAGAGGTAAAATGC